CCCGTCCACGTGCCCCTGGATTGGATGGAGCTGAGGACGGGGATTTCGACCCGCCCTCCCACCATCGGGAAAATTTTTCGCAGCGGGACGCCACTTTTTCTCATTTCAACACCCCAACTTTATTTTTTTGTCAGAGGGCCGGGTTATTAATGATTTATCGAGAAAAAAGTACATTTCGAAACATGTATACTGTAAATATAGTTCGTAAAGCAAAATTATTCATTCCTGGATTCCCCCGTCGCCCTTTGCTGGCAGATTCAACATTAACTGTCGCTTGTTTGATCCTAAAAGGGCATGAATTTTCATTTTTATATTTTGTTTGATCAGAGTGAATTATCTTCCTCATTAACTTATAATTATAGAAAAATGCCCATTTTAATAGCCATTTTTTTCTCGAAAAGCACTTGCACTAACTTAAGTTATGCGACCTTTCCCCGATTGTCATCGCAAAAGCGCTAAGATACTGCTATTTCATTTTCGTATTAAATGTTGCATAAGTACCAGCATATCTGAATTCTTTTCTACAAACAAAAATGAAATTTAAAATAACGTTTAAATGTATCATAACATAATCAGTCAATGTCTTTTGCACATTCCCCGCATATAAACTTCTACTTCGAAAAAGAACTTCATTTTCCACGTCACATACATTCGTATAAAAGAAAATTAGTCAGTTCAGGGCTAATCAGGAAAGTGTAGATAATTATTCTAGGAAACAATGATCTGGTCAGCCCACGTCGGGTGAGAGTTTCAGCATACAAGGGTTACTTTAGGTACTAACTAATATTTTCATTCCAAAAGATCTAAACGTGCCTAAATCAAATGCCTTACTTTTGTTGGTGAAGCATATCAACGAATGGTCTTTTAATAACTGACACCAGAGCGTTTGTTGCATTAGGGTATTTAAAGGATACGGACATGATTTGCAGGAGCTTCGTTGATAATTTATTTTTGCACACCTACATACCATTTACACTTTGGTTCCATGTAGAAGATAACCTTATTTGCTTTATGTCACCTAGGTTAGATGAGTGACTTCGTGAGGGTCTGTATTTTGGTAGACAGTTCTAGTTAGATCGCCAGCTCGTGTGATTAGTTCGTCCAGAAATATGTTTGGAGAGCAGTGCTCCCAGTATATATTTATCGATATATATGTTTCCTCTCACGATTAGATTGAGAAGCGTGCTTTGTTTGCATCGGTAAATTATTCGAGAATGCATAGCCGAGTTTAACAACAATTGTTTTTATTTTTGTCAGAGTTGAGAGCTATTATGTCTTCATTCATTCAATGCAGATTACAGTGATCTTGCAGTTTCATAAATTTGTTGTGCCCAGTTAACATTGGAGACATTATGGTAAAAGCAGTAAGGATAAAACACTCATCCAAAACTACGAAACGAAAATTATCATTAACAGCAAGTTTTCTGCAAAACTGGGGCTCAGCGACTGAACCACTCACCAGCACATCCAAACGCTAACATGTATCATAATACGTGCGTAAAAGTATAAATTAATCGTTAATTATGAGGATGTAAGATGCATAATATTCAATATATGCAATGAAAAACGGGTGGTCACCATTACTCTGCGCCTCGAGCTGATCAATAGTTTAATCCCATCATCTCGTCTATCGTTGTATATATCGGTCTCAAAATATTCTATAGGGGACGAGTTCTATTAGGGTCCGCACTTGAGCTGATAGTTTATATAAAAACTCTGAAATGCTAGCTTAGACTTTTGGAAAACGGAAAAATATGTTTGAGCACGGTGTCAGACGATTTAAATCAATTAAAGCAGTACATAATATCACAATTAAATTCGGGAATAATGCTTAATACGTTTCGTCTCCAGAACTGTAGGCATGCTTTCTAAAAGTTACTTAAACTAACATGAGTAATTTCTATATCTAGACCGGCATATACTATTTATCAAGTGATTAATTGACCAGAGAGGATAATGACTAGCTCAAAATAATTTAACCATGGTTTACTTATTTTGATTATAACCGAACTGCAGTTCGGTTATACCAATCGCCTTCCCTATTTTACTTGTCCTTGACATTTGTTTTCTTAAGTAGCTAAATTACATTAGTATGTTCCCAAACAAATAGAACACGTATTAAAAAGGAGTAGTTAAGAAATGCTAACAATTTGTACATATTTGTTTTCTGTCGGATGTTGATTTTTTTCGAATGACATTCTATCTCATTTCGACGAGGACGCCTTGATTCCAGTTCCTTTGCAACCCCCTACTGAAATTCGAAAAACGAAAAATCCGAGTGAGATGTCATAGAATTATGTTTTCGCGTTCTGGAATGGTTGATCCTCTGATTGTGGGCTACTAAATAAATGGGTGCCGTGGCCTAGGTGATTATGGAACGCAATTTTATGGTCAAGAGACTCACAGTGTAACACGCACAGTATATGTCGCAGATATAATGAATTAATATTTTAAATTTGATGGACACTTTTTACGACTATTGCGAGTATTGCTAAGTTTTGCTCCTCGTACTCCTTATGGCGTGCCAAGAGCCCCCTTACCTGAGTATAATAATTATTTTCTGGCGCCTTCTAGAAGATTGGTCATTTGTCCTAACAAGTATTGAAAAACGAGTGAGAACTGCGTTCCATTAATTCATCCCTTGATGTTTCTATTGATTGTTGCGTAGAAGTACTGTTTAGTTTACGCAGAATTTTGCAGTTCTTTGGGAATCTCAGAAAATACTTTAAAAAGCCGCTTTCTTCAGATAGATTTATGCATTCGTTGTTTGCTTGGTCTCACCAAAAACGTCGCTGAACCCAATCAAATCAAATAAGACTCTTGGTGTTTTTTGAAGACCTTTTTTATCTGTATGCTCCCGCTAAACGTATTTTTTTACAAGTTCGATTAATTTTAGCTATGCACGCTCTTTACTTTCCCACTAAACAACGGTTATGCCTCATTCCAGCTATTTCCATAACCAATGACGAGTCAGAACGTACAGTCTCAAAACCTGATTCTGTTTGGACCAACTTCTTAAACAAGGTGGCTTCACAAAGACGGTTGGCTATTGCTGCCCTGGTCCTGACAGTCCTTACACTGGCAGCTCTAGTTGGCCTGGGTGCCTTTTTCTGTTATCGAAGAAAATTTGGGGCAGCTTCTCCAGCAAAAGGTCGTGGAAAATACCGGATTCTCTATAATACGGACGGCGATGAAGTTGTTGGAAACCATCATCCTCTCTTCTAACCAATTGCATGTGTATTTCCAATGGTTTCGCCTGCCACGTCTCTTCCAATCCACTTTTGCCAAACTGTGTCGTGATTTCGAAGGAAGATGCGCATTACTTCATTTCCGAATTACTTATGCTTTTATACTCAACATTCCTTTAATGTAAAATAACTTTATTTACAACCACTCTTATTCAATATATGTAAGCCCGTAGTAATACAAAAAAGTGTTGTGCAGCTTTGCTGCAGTGCGCCTAAAATATTATTTAAACATTTGAAACTATTTTTAAATAAACATGTAAAGCCTATTTATTGACTTTTTCACAATTTTCATAACAGTGTGGAGCGTAAACCATGTGCACAAACGGGAAAACATCTGCCAACGCATAAAAAAACATTTCCCACATGTTGGTAATAATAAAAAGCTGAAGGAATTGACTGAATTTCGGCTGTTATATTCTTTTATCTAGGACACTTTGGTGAACTTAGATAGTCATCTCACACGGACATCACGTTTTATTTGCAAATACAGTCTGCAACTTGATTCAGGGGAGCGCAAACAGTTCTGTTTGCATTTCATCGCTTCAGACACCAGAAAAGCGTGCTATGAGGAGGGCAAAGGGGGTGTACACGTCGATGTTTCTGTAATTCAGAATTTGGACTGAATGGTTTCAGAAATTCAGAAAAGGATGGATATCGAAGATCCGACAGTGTCGGAGGGCTGCATGACCGTCAGACGTAAAACAGGTTTTGAAAATGTATCTGCAAAACTTAAACCTAGCCATGACGTTTGATAAAGCGCAGATTTTCTTTAATTTGCTTAAAAACTTAAGCCAATTTCGTCCTTTAAACAGTGTCCAAAATATTATTACATATGTTAATGCGATACTGAACTGCAGTAGGATACAAGGTCATCTGCGGCAACTGACGATCATGAAGGTTTGCGCTAGCTTCGCATTCTGGTTGAAGACGACGTCTTTGAGAGTATTTCCTCTCTCGCACGCGAGTCAAAATTACTTCGAACCAGTAAACTGATTTCGCATATTCCTCTGCAATTTTGCTTCGTAGTTTGAAAATCGAACTGACACACGGTACGTCTATGGTTGGCACCAAGCCAGCCGTAACGGTGGGTGGCTCTGGGGCCCTTTGCGGCTTAAAAGCCGCAGTATAAAAGGTTTCAGTTGGGGGGGGGAAGAAGTATTTATGTTTTGAGCATTAATTAGGAATGACATCCTAGCGGGCTCAAGAACTGTCTACTCTCATCTCTGATAGCGCGTGCTTTTCGAGAGTAAACGAGCACGTGGCAGTGACGTTTAGTTTGCAGGTCTCCTCTCCGGTGGTGCCGGTGTTCCCCCTCTCTTTATTTGTGCGCTTACGGCGTCATGCCTGTGTGCAGAGCCGGAAAAAAAATTCAACATAATTGCCAGTCGGCTTTCTTTAGTATAGCCAAGGGCACAGTTTTATCTGGGACACTAAAGAATCACGTATTCGAATGAATGAGAAAGTTTGCATTCCAGGTAACTGCTTGGATAAGAAAGGAGACGAGTCGAGCCCCGGATCAATTAATTTATTGTCCCGAGCTTTCGGCCCCACACGAGAAGCCATCGTCAGAGAAAATAAGAAAACAGCGTATATGTTACAACAGCTATTTTTGATAATGAAGGCCGAAAAAATATAAGTATGGAAAAAAATCGTGAACTCTGCATATTCTAGTCAACATGGTGTTGGTGCTAGCATGTAGAACCAACACAATCGTTGGATTTGAGTTAACCTACCAAAGCTGCGTTTGTCATAAGCGTCAGTGCCTGTGTACCTATGGGCTCCCGATGACGTTTGCTGCCGCCAAGTTATAAGAAAGACTCGTGCAACACGAGATTGGATAGGAAGGAGACGAGACGAGTCCCAGATCAATTAATCTATTGTCCTGAGCTTTCGGCTCCATACGAGAAGCCATCGTCAGAGAAGATGAGAAAACAGCAAGCATTGGCTACGCGTGAATTGGGTTGGTAGGGGGAGGGGGGAAGGCATTTGTGATTGGTCCATATCCACGCCGCGTCCACTCCCACGATATCTTATGGTGTGTCTCCTGCGCGCGTCCCTGGAGTTACGGCGTGTGACCTTGATGTGGCAGCCTGAACGCTTGTAGAGAACTGGGCCCTGATTTATGGTCGATCTTCAAGGAGTGACCATCGTAGGCCGAGGAACTTCGAAAGCCGAGAGGCTGACGCTTGAGGCGTGGTTCTCAGATACCAACTCTGCCAACAGGCATCTGGACCTGCCTGCGGTCTACAAAGTCTTGCGCCGTTATATTGGCAAAGGACAGAACAAGGCCGAACCGAACGTAAGAATGGCAAGCGAAGAGGACCCCACA